TTGCGTACAAGAGTGTGAGCACAGGATACATGCGTACTACTGATCTTGAGCATTGAACGTTACTAGCTCTTGAGTCCGTAGCTATTGGTCAGTGTACGCTTGGGTCGCATCTCTCCAGCTAATGTCGGGTCGTGTTGACACAAGGGAATGACATGAGGCACCGGACTGTCCGGTCCGGACATCAACCACGTATGTCGCAATATCAGTTGATGTACTCTAAGACAACACAAGAGAACTTGAGCTAGAGCAACCAATACTACGACCCTAGAACAATAACAATAAGCGCACTACCTGCACTTGAGTTTTGTACGAATGTACACACTTAGTAGCACAGTAATCGATATTTGGCTCATTCGTTATGAATAGGAAGGCAAAGATTTGATGAGATAATGAGGGTGCAGGCAAACTGAACCCACAGCACGTGCTGTAATGCGTTAAACATGTGATATATACAGTTCGTGATTGACGTTGATCGTATGTGACTGAAGGGCAATTCAATTCCACGCGACACGTGACGTGTCACACGTCACACGTCACACGTCACAAGTCTGAAAGAGTCGCACGTGTCTAACTTATTCCATCGAGTAGGCCCCTGAAACAACCTTAATATTTGCCATAGAGACTATTGGTATCTTCCAACCTACAGCCTGATGCCGAAGAATTGGAATCTGAATGCTTGGGAATATTGCATCATACGGCAAGTACTCTGGGGTCACTTTTGGACGTGCTTACACCTGCATTAGGTGTCTGATGATAAAGGGGAAAGAGGTGCCACCACGTGAGGCGTGAGTCACGCCGCGTGACGGTTGGCCAACTCCGAAGGCGCGACGCCCCCGAAGTCGAGTAACCTCCTCCGGTTGCAATTTAATTGCTATTATCGTCATTTTGGTGACTCTCCAAGGAGTATAACCTTTTCTCGCATCATGACCCGTCACTACACTCTCATTATGCTGTTCTCCGCTATCTTATCAATCGGCTACTCACTGTCTCAGGACAAGAATGTATCTGTCGACAACGATATACCTGCAAACCACTGGGCTGTGAGTGCAGTGATTGAGGGAATCATCATATCATTTGAGAGACTAGTAACGGGAACATTTTATATTGTGTGACTGCTCAGGTCCTTATCGCCGGTTCCAACACTTATTGGAACTATCGACATCAAGCTGACGTGTGTCATGCGTATCAGATTCTCAGAAGAAATGGTGTACCCAAGGAGCACATCATCACTTTATCGTAAAAGAGACCTCCCTAGCACACTGCTGCCAGCTGTTTCCTCTCCTGTCAACTCCAGGTATAATGATGTTGTCAATCACCCTAAGAACCCCTTCAAGGGACAACTATTCAACAAACCAACGGGTGGGCTCGTTCGTCACCTAAGGAGCCCATGAGCCCTCACTTTAAGGTGACCGTCCTGGCGTTGATGTCTATAAAGGTTGCGAGATAGACTATAGTGGCGAGGAGGTCACGGTCAAAAACGTTCAAGGAGTGAGTATCGTTGAATGCGAGTCCATCTCTCATTCAGGATAAGTTATCCTACATGAGATATGCTTCCTTCAGCCTCGAAATCATTCTTGCTAATGCAGGTTCTAACCGGCGATAAGTCGCTAGCATCGAAGAAAGTTCTGGAAAGCACCGAGAACGATTACGTCTTCATCAATTTCGTGGATCACGGCGATAGTGAGATAATTCTCGAAGCATCATCGAGATTATCTGAGTGATTCTTCCTCAGCGGATTCGATCGCCCTCCCAGCTGAGAGTATAAGCAAAACACAAATTCGATCATGGTTGACGACCATGGAGAAGAAGAAGATGTGGCTTGCAATTCCACTGTCATTCGAGCGATACACAAATTATCACTCAGGTATAAACAGTTGGTGTTCTATGTCGAGGCATGTGAATCTGGCAGTCTGTTCGAGGGGAGTCCTCCTATTCCAGGCCAGTAAGGATGTCTTACTAGGGCGCGCCGTTCGTCTGCAAATCCGGGAGCGCATGATTTCCCATATTTGTCAGATATTACGTCACAGCTGCCAATCCACAGGAGCCAAGCTCTGGAACGTACTGTCCTCCAGTAGGAATGATCCTGATCATCATCCTCCATGTTTTCGGTGAAATAGATGGCCGTTCTTTCTTCAGCATGACGTGGTTGCTAACGTCTCACTTGGCTCCTGTCTCGGAGACCTTTTCTCTGTTAACTGGATGGAGAATGAAGACGCCTTTTCGCATACTGGCCGCGATGAGACTCTGGAGAAGCAATATGACCTGGTCAAAAACGAAACCACTTTCAGGTTCGATTAAGTTACTAGCGGAAGTTTGCTCAGTCAAGTTTGCTTGTTGTCAGTCATGTTATGCAGTATGGAGATAGAACATTCACCCACGAGTCTACCCAAGATTTCATGGGTAGCAGAAACGGAAAGATCAAGTTGATCGGTTCCGATTATGCTCCTGGGTGAGTATCTGAGTATCCTGACATCTATTTCGATGATCTCGGTGGTGTCTCGTCCTACCTTGTGGCATTGATAAGACCAATGAAGTTTATTGAATGAACGATGTGTCATAAGGCGCGATTGGCTGAACGTTTGGGTTCATTCTAGGTCCGAAGCGACCGTTGAGCATGTCTTCGGGGAGTTTTTTGGACGTCCGAAGCCGCAGGGCGTGACGGTTGAAGAGGTAAGAACTCTTTCTTCCATTTGGATATGCTGAGGGAGGAGATTGTCACGAGATCATTGGTTGATCCTAGGAAGTCGCAAGGGAGAAGGAAAGGCTCCGCGCTATCAAGCAAGTTAGTAGCGTACCATCAAGGATGATTCCCATTCACATAAAGTAGATTCCATTCAGTCCTGGCTCGCTAATCGGCCCGCATTCAGATACAGCGAGCTGAGGGAAGAAGAAGGGAAGCCGAGCAACTACAGAAGGCAGTTAGAAGTCGCTAAGGAACTCCTTCAGACCGTCGAGGAAAGGGTGAGTAGTCTATTCAGAGTAGAACAGTCGGGGTCCATCTATTGTGCTGACGACCGCTCGAAGGGACGATAGACGTTCTTCAGATTCGTGAGATTGAGGAAATGATGGATCGCAATGAGCATTTACGCCTGGAACGCGATTCAGCCCACAGCTAAAAGTAAGTCCAGCCCTTGCTTTGGAGGATGTGGAGACTCGTCGCTTCGATTGGCAGGAGTTCATGCTCATCAATGTAGTTAGTATCTGGGGATAGGGTTTTTAATACAAAACCTACTCCGATGGTATCGGTAGTTACTTCAGCTATCGTATGTTTTTGTAATTTCTCCGGAGTGCCACTGGCATTATACCAGTGCGAAGATCGCATGGCTTGGCCATCCCGAATTCTTCTCGAATCTATGATAGATTATCTATCACGGTTAGCAATAGTTTGCTACTAGCAGTTTCAGTTGTGCACTTTGTTGTGTTTTGTGCTAAAAAAGTGCTGGGTGGATTATGGGCAGGTTGGACCAGGCCTTGGCCATTTTGGGAATAATGGGACCTTGTTCCCGGAGCGGGAAATTTCCCGGAAATTCCGGGAAAAATTGCGGGAAATTTCCCATATTGGGAAAAAGGGGAAAAATTTTCTTTTCCCCTGATAAGAGGATCTACTACCTGGCTTTTTCATCTGATACACTTTGATAGACAGCTCAGAAACGCCCTCCAAGTCAAGGTCATGAACATACTGTTCCTTACAAGAATGGCAACCAATAGTGACGAATATCATAGAACTTGCTACCCGTTGCTGTCTATTGTCATAGAACAGGATATCCTTATTCTAATGCTGCTCTCGTAGTCTTCGAGGGCAGCGGCCATGTCGTACTCTCCCTGTGTCGATATGACTTTTCACGCCGCTCTGGAACAATAACTGTTCCAATTATTACTATCAATCGATTGTTGTAGCGCGCGGTTTCAATCACAATTAGCTATATTATATAGGTTTGTTCAAATAATCATTCTTGTAACCTCGACGTTGGTTTCCCTCTCGCCAGAATTTAGAGCACGAAATGCCCATGAAATGTTTGTGATTTGGGTCGCGGATTGGGGGCGCGTGAAGATTCGGCAGGGATCGAGGTGGTTATAGCAATCATAAACGTAGGCCGCGTTGGCGGCGTCCACGCGTCTAGCTGGATAGCTAACTGGCTGGCGCTTTTCAGCAGATTCTCGTTCTTCTTCCTGATAGCCTGGCATAACCGTTCCTCGAATCGAGGACCTCGATGGCTCGTATTTTTTTAGGGTGCAGAATCTGCACTGTAGAGGACTCCTAGCACCTCCTTTACCCTAACTTGGAACCAGCGCACGTATAACGTGTCGCAGGCCCGGAGATTCCAACATGACCTACTTGACCATACCGCGATAGTAGCATATTCAACCAGACGGCGGTTGAACTCACCAATTCGGGGTCTGAAACGTGTATCCAACTTGGGGGTCATGGACAAGAAAGAACAGAGCAATGGCAAGCCTTACTGGGAGAGTAAGAGTAATGTTCGATGATAAGCGCGCTATAGAGAGACTTGTGGAGAAGTGCGCGCCCAGGGTGGGGAAAATTGCTCACATGGCTAGAACACTGCTTTTGCACTTTACTACGGGCATTCAAAACACGGAGACAACCACGGTCGCTTTATGAGTATGATTTGTAGTTCTCACTGCTCAGGGGGAGAAAAACGAGGTGTTTTTGCATTTTTCCCAAGGGAAAAACTGAGAGTTTTTCCGGGAACGGGAAAGTGGTCCACTTTAAGTAGGAAATTTCCCAAGAGAGACTTTTCCCATTTTCCCAATGGACAAACCCTGGATTGGAACGCGGCGCGTTCAACGCGCATCGCGATTCATTTGTTCAACGAGGAGCCGGGCCTGTGACTCAACTCTCAACCTCGAATCAATCCCGAGTAGTTCCGAGACCAGATCGGTACTGCCTTGACAGCTGTTAGCCTGACACTGTGACAGTGTCACTGTCAGGTCAAGATCAAGCCCACTCCTGAGACATCCTGATACACAACACTTATATTCACCTTACGCCATCCTAAGCCCTCTTACGATTCCACACCTGAGCACAAATGCTCGAATAAAAAAATACACGACAATTATCTTGGACTCAGGAATCACAGGGTAAATGTACATTGGCAACGGCCGTCTTCTTTTGAGCTGTGTATTCGCCAACACGGCGCGCTTTTCCAACGGGGCGTTGTACTTTTATGGCTGTGTTCAACAACACTCGACGCGTACAACACCGTTGGTTTTTCTACGCGTTGGCTGTTGCTCGGTCGGTTGTTTTTTGGTCCTTTACATACTCAACACCCAATCCTTCCTGACACTCGTTACTTCTGCCGGGTGTTGTGTCTATTGTTTGATGTTGCTTTTTCTGCCAGCACATTATCAACATTGGTGATGATTGACCTCGTTCATCTAGAAATGTGGTCATTTACGGTACAAGTCTTACCCGGGGTTTCCATTTCGACATTCACTGATAGTTTCTCAAAAGGTGCTTTTCGGAGGTTGAGTGACAGCTTCTGAGACTCAGACGGAAGTTCAAACCGTTCCTGCATCCCTGTTCAGCGAACTTAGTTGCCGTGCAGCGCCGGGCCTATCATACAAGCCATCGCAGGCCAAATTACTGACAGAGTCGGCGGGGGTACTATTCTCTATGAGCGAGTTCATCCGAAAAGATTTTTCGGTACATCACGCCGTAAGGCTCACGGACATTTACTGCCGCTTGTGATACCCCAACTCTTACGAAGTTTCGCACTTGTGGGCCATGAGTTGTGGCAACCCTTCAGCTCGCGGCCTCAACATGGACCAGTGAGTGGTGGGTCACCGCTGGTGACCAATCACTGACCGCTAGTAACTCGAAGCCACTCAACGCAGTGGTCGTAGCCAGTTTCAACCCAGATTGGTCTTCCAACTGAAAGCTGGGCAACGAATGCACCTGGCAGATGCGCTTGTGGGGTCTTACCTATTTTGGGCGAGCGCCATCTTGATCGCAGGTGTCTGCTTTGTTAACTCTCCGCGAGCCAAACCAAGTAATGCTCTGTGTTTCAATATGCGGTATTACTGAACTGTAACACAGCCTTTCATTTATAAGAGTTTACTCTAATGCGAAATGACTCGTTTTACACTCCCGACAATTCCGGCCGGAATCACTCAGGTAGTCGTAAGGAGTCCTTAGTGACAACTTTTCAGAGGGCTTTCGGTTGCAACAACTGACAATGTCATCCTGCATGGTTGTCGTTCTCAATGCCTGTTATTTCAGATCGTATGAACTGGCAGTGGCCTGCTTCAAGCGGTAGTGCAGGTTCTCAGCGAAATCCCGCCGCTTCATCATGGTGGGATGAAGATTACAGCCGTCATGCTCCGTCATCGTGGTGGAATGCGTCGTGGTGGGATCACGACACGCGGTCGTGGTGGGATGATGATACGCAATCGTGGCGGGACGAATCACATGGATGGGGATATCACGAGGTGGGCAATCGGATTAGATGACTCCATTAATCGAGTCCGATTGATTCTTCCGAAATATTTCTGTACAATGAAGATGTAAAGGTATAGCCAGTCGTGTCGCGCCATACATTTTCTTTCGATTTCAGGAAGCCGAGTGGCAAGACGGTGCGACGAATACCGATGTTCTGTCTACATCCGATAATCGAACGGGGAGTCTGTCGAGCCCCGACGACGAAACCAGGAATCCGTTGGGATCTGAGCCTCAGTTAGATCCAGAGGTGAGCTCGCGACGCGAGTTTTGCGCTGGATCCACTCTCGATCCATGAGCATTGCTGAGATATTTCATCAGGAGCCAATTAAAGTGCCAAGCCTTTCCGGGTTCCAAGTCCACGGCGACAAATCCGGGTTCCACATCCAAGGGTCGGTTTTCCCATCCACGCTCCATCAAAGTGATGCTACTCGGAAAGGTCGACTTTCTGGGCAATTTTTCCAAGACGTTTTCCCGGGCGAGGTTCATCGAATTAGAGTAGCAATGTGGAAAATGAACCCCAGCTTGGAAAAAGTTCGGTGCTTGGAAAACGCAACCGCTCGCACGCTGCGTGCGGCATGCCCGAAACTCACACAACGTACTCATACTCGACTTAGTCGAGTCGACTAATAACATTTAACTACTTACTAAGGCCGCAAGGCCGCAAGAATTGAGCATATCAAGCAAACTAGATTGTACGACCTGTCTTGCGCTAAGTTCCTTGCCGACTTAGGCCATCATCAGAGGGTTGACGAGAGCACTGAGGGTAGGGAATACGGTGAGTTTGTTATAAGTAACGTGTTGGTAAAGGTCATGTTGATGAAGGATCGTTTTTGTTCAATATTCTCGTAGTTTATCGAGTTATTAGTGCACTTGGAAAAAACGGGCTGCGCTCCGGAGTCGCGCGACTGGTGGAAAAAGGACCCTCCTCCGGAACATGGAAATCGCGCACTTTAATCCGCGCTCGCGTGGAAATGTTCACTTGGATTGGAAACAGGACTCTGTGCGTGGATCCAAGTACTTGGAGATATCCCCTTGGACATTGCTTCACTTTAATAGACGTTTTTTCTCCAAGTTTGGAAAGGACTTCTTTCCCTCCACATGGACTTGGAAAAGTGGGCACTTTAATTGGCTCCAGGAGTCCTCCGTCGGTCCTGCAGAGGTTGATATCCCTCGTTGGATTTCATAGGAAGATGAGTGGGACTTCGTTGGATTCCTCAACCTCGAGGCGGATGAGTCTCCTGTCTCGTTGAAGGCCATTGCCAATTTGACCAGACGAGTAGCATCGACCTTTGGCGACGACAAGACGGCTATGTTCAAGGTTCGTAACAGCAGAGCTCCTAGAAAGAATAAGCCTTGTACCGACGGCTACTGCAACTATATCTGCTGCCAGCACGTTGCGTGCGGGGTACAACTTCGGGCCATTTTGGACTGTTCCGTTGAACAGACTCGGGTCAGAATTTACAGAAATCGTGAGTTACACTCTCACGTTGCTCGCCAAACACCCGTCGAGGAGTCACCGTCGGTGACTCACCGACTGATGAAGGCCCCGCTGGGGGGAAGAAGTACGTCAAGCTCCCGGCTCACCTGCACTTGGCGATGGAACAGGCGTTAGAGGTTAACCCTAACACTACCCCAACGCAGCTATACAATCGCTTTCTACGACCGGGTGATCCGGGTTGTGTGAAAGGCGAACCGAAGGAAGCCACTGCGTTGCGTAGGAGGTACAAAGATTACTGTGCAAACCTTAAGCGGGTGCACGCCCGGACTCCGGGCCCCGGAGGGTTCGCGAGAAGCAGTTGGAGACTGTCGAAGATCTTATCATGGAGTTGGGGCCGAAGCTGTGGTCATATGAGAGTACTAAGTGGAAGGAGGCTGTCGAGGTACTCAAAAATGGGCAGCACCTTGAGCCTTCCCTAATCTCTCTACCCCCGTTTGCGGGTTCGAAACGCTTCGCCGTCCCGGTGACATCAACGTTGTGTCTACAGAGTGCATTCTTCCTACAACGGTCTGCGGGCAGAAGGTACGCCATAACGCTGTATTGCGATGGCCAGCAATCCAGCATACGTGGTGCTTCATCACAGCTGTTTACTGTGGGAGCTTCTTGTATACACTTATGTGACTCAAATACTGAGGGGCGATCATACAGGAGCTCTTACGTACCACTCGTCTTCGCTGTGACGAGCGACGAGTCCCAGGAGTCTGTCGAAGCGGTCCCGAGTGCCGCCCAGAACATCCTCCGCCTCATGGGTGGCCCCGAGGAGGTTCCCGTTGGTTGTATATGCTCGGACGCATCGCCTTCTATAACGAAAGCTTGCCGCTCTATCTTTCCGACCGCCTCTTGCCACCGCTGTCGGTGGCATAGGGAGGAAAGCATTCGGAAGTCGAAGCTGGACGACTGCGAGAAAGATATGGCTCTCTACATCTCTCGGCTGCTTTCCGTTGCTCCCGACGATTCTGCATATGATGGGATCCTTAAGGCTCTCGCAACGGACTCGTCGGTATCGACGAACATTAAAAAATACTTCGGCTATTCGGGGAGCATCACCTCTTTTGGTGATCCCCGATTGCCCGTATTCGTCAACAATCGGGTAGTACTGGTCAGTATGGATAATAATATAAGTGAGTCATTTAATGCATCGACGAAGCGGGCACACCAGAATAGTTTCAAGCGCTTCAACAGTGTTGGCGAAGTAATGAGCATAGGGAAATGACTCCCTGGCACGGTGACTTCAGATACTGGCGTATTTGGAGGACATGTGCTTGGGTATGGACGCGACTATGCGACGTGGGGTATTCTTCGAACACAGCCACTTCTATTTGACGAACGCGATTGGTGATCGTGAAAAGGCTGCAACCCGCGGGGGCGATGGTGAAGTTTTCATGAAGTCTCCGCGACTCTTCTACGTGGCTAGCTCGGAGAGGAGTCGCCGATCTCTTTCCGCGGCAGACGTTGAGGCATGTGATCGCCGTGATAATGATACGTTACACACCTGGGCCATGCGTGTTCTA